CTTGCGTTCATAAATCTTTCGTCTGATAAATTTATCACTATTGGACAATTTATTCCTTCTTTAAATGTTGATTTAACTAATATTTGGATTCCGCCTAAATGAACGTAATTCATTTTCTTTCTTTTTCTCTCAGGAATTTTCCTTAAGATTTGATTTATCATTGTTCTTGTTAATAAATTTAACTTATGTTTTCCTGTTGTTTGGGTAATCTCTATTACCTTTTCTACTTCTTGATATTCATGATAAGAGATTTTATCTCTTGTAAAAATCCTTTGAATTCTACTTAATAGGTTATCTTCTATTGTAAGATTTAATTTTAATCCTTGGATTTTCTTAAATGTTTCTCCATCGAAGGTTGCTTTTAAAGAATATCCATGATGATCTTCTTCTATTTCTAATATCTGTACAAAATCTTCTTTTTCTTGTATTTCTTTATTCATTTAATCAGATTCTTCTGAACTAGTTGAATATTCTTCATAGATTTCTTCAAAGAAATCATCACTTTTTATAGATTCTATAGACTCCAAGTCTGAATCTATTTCTAATCTATCTATTTTTGAGATTTTTACTCTTTTCTTGTTACATTCATAACTTTTGTGTCCTTCTCCATAATTGTAACATTTGCATTTACTTTTAGTTTTTATAAATTCTCTTTTCTTTTTATAATACCTCTTCTTTGGTATATATTTTTGTTTAGTGAAATTTTTCTTTTTAATTAACCCTTTCTTGAGTTGTTTTTTCTTTTATATGGTCTATCTTCACATTCCCATTGAGTAGATGTCTGTGTATCTTTACAATAAATTTGTGTATTAATTCTTTTAGCTTTTCTTTGCATATTATGTGACATACATAATTGCCCTAATCTATTATTTAGGAAACTTATTCTCTGTCTTAGAGTATCTCCTTTCATATTTTCTTTTTCATATTCTTCCCTAAAGTATTTGGCCCAAAAGCCTGGTAATTTTTGATAGTATTTTTCTAAATAAGGTAACATTTCTTTAGTGCTATCAAATATTTTATAATAATATTCTTCGAATTCACAAGTGTTTTCTCGAATATAACTCATTTTACATATTTGTAATTTTTCCAACTATTCTTTTGCTATATTTTTTATCATTTCTTTGTTTTCTTTTTCATTTCCTTGTCCTCCAAAGAATTCATTTGCAACATATTGCTTAAGATTACTTATACCTTCTTGTAGAGAATTTTCTAATCCTTCTAAGGTATCATTTTTAATTATATTTTCCGCATCTTCAGTTAATCCTAAAAACCAATCATTTACCTTTCCCATAAAGGTATTTATCATTGTGAAGTATTTTTCTTCATCTGTATAATTTCCTTCACGTAGTAGAAAATACAATAGCATATTTTGAGACCAAAGATCCAAGCTATTTTCTGAATTCCTTTTACATTCAAGATCTAAGAATTGAACACCTATATCTCCTGTTGGTAGTCTGTTAGGCATAAATCTAGATTTATCATTATTATGATAATTTTTTGAAAAATCATCATTTCTTCTTGTTTTGTTAGTAAAATTTTTATTCTCATTTTGTGGCTCTTGCCATTCATTCTTCATAGAAGTTGAAGCTTCAAATTTTCCTTGAGGTCCTTCCGTTTCCCCTCTATTCATGAGTACCTTCTTTTCTTCAGAGAGACTCAGGTCTTCTAAAGAATAAACTAGCTCATCTAATTCATTCATCATTATTTTGTTCATTTAATTTTGAATCAATTACTATTACTGCATTATCGTTATGATTTGTTTCTAAATCATTTTCATTTTCTAAATATTGTTCTTTTCCTTTTTGTTTTTCAAGGAATTTCTGAATTAATATTTCATCCATACTTCCTTTTTGATAAGTATTTTCACTTGTTGATTTTTTATTTAATAATTCTTTTATATATTTTTGACTTATTCTTTTGTCTATTTTTTCTGTTTTTTCAATAAAAGTTGTTATTTTTCCTGGAATATTTGCTTTGATATATTTTATTTCTATTTCTATCATTCTTATTCTTAATGATATTTGTTTATTACCCTCTATGAGGTCTTTTAATAAATCAGATATTTCTTTCAAACTCATTATTCTGAATAATACCAATCAGATGTATCATATAGATCATTGTCAAAGAAATTATTATATTGCATATTATATTTTTCTTCTTTTTTATTATGCAACATAATTATTTTAACAATTTTTCTTTTTAGATCTTCATCTAAATTTTTAATTACTTGTAAAATTGTGACAAGTACTTCAGTTCCTATATACCATAAAGGTTTAATATTTCTGTCCATAGACCAGTTATTTGGCTCTATATTCCCAAATGGAATACCTAGCTTTACAGCTCAATTGTTCGAGTTCGGATATTTGGATCGAGTATATACAGGTCCAGATCTGAAAGAAATATCTCAACTACCAACAAGATTGTTCAAAGCAATCAAAGATTTCAGCCAAGGCGATGGAGGAGTATACTGCAGATTCTACAGCATTTCAATAGAGTGCCAAGATTCGCAAGCATACTATCCAACACTCAACTACATTTCTGTTTAAAAAATAAAAGATTTTAATATTAAGACTACGGGAGTAGACAAAAAACTTCCTTATCTTAACAAGAAATGGATACAAACTAGAAGAGCATTAGGGATAAAAGCCTTATATGCTATTCTAAATAGATTTTACAAAGATGATTTCAGGGTGATAGATCAAGACACTGATTGGGTTCTTATCACCAAAGGAAGATCAAAATCAGAAATACTCAAAGAAAGAATCCTGGATATTGAGCTCCACAGATTAGGAGCAACAGAGGAGACTTGGAAATTAGCATGCAAGATGCTAGAACACAACCATGATCAATGAAGGAGAAGATCGATGAAGAAGATGAAGAACGTAAGCAATTACATAATCATACACAAAAAGTAAGCACTTACGTTAACAAAAGAAGAAAAAGAAGATACTTTTCTTTAGAAAAGAAAAATCATATCTTGTCGGCCAGTGACAGAAAGCAGCACATGTGACATAAAGCAAAGTTATCAGCAAGGAATCTTTTGACTCGAAAGAGCCAATAGATAAAAATGTAATATTTAAAGGATGTCCTTTAAATAAAAGTTGATTGTAAATAGACCCCTCCGGATATATATATAAGGAGTAGAGTTTCATATGGATAGGGGCAGTCGAGTGTGGAGTGTTAGAGAGTCTTAGAGTAAGAAAGGTTAAGAATATTTTATGAGTTAAAATTATGAGTAAGTAACTTCTCCCGTTAGGGAAAAGTGTTTCTATTAATGTTGTATCAAGATATATACTTATAATATGTAAGTGAGATTATTATATATGAAATAAAAGTCAGTTTATATATCTATTTTCTTCAAACTTAATAAATAGTTCAAAGTGGAAGTTGCGATTTCCAGCCTGAAGGAGGAATAGTTCGAAAGTAGCCGAAGGTGTGAAGGCGAAAAATACTATTCATTGCCGAAAAGGAGAAATGCTGCGGCATTGATAAAACTATTTATCAACAAGAGGAAGTAAGGTATAAAAACTATCTTTTTTTACATATTTTATAATCTTGTAGACATGTTATATGTTGTTATCTTGATTAAACATTAAAAGAAATTACTTAGTACCTGTAGGGATTAAAACATATTATGTTTTACATAATGTTTTTCATAATCATATCAAGCTAATTGAAAACATACGTATAAAATGAAGTCTATACAATCACATTTACATAGTGTAAGAAGAAGAGCATGGAAACATAAGATAGCAATGCATCATATGAGAAAATCAATTTTCGAAATGGAAAAAGTTTATTTAAATACTGGTCTTAAGTATAATAATATAGTTTTATACATATATGAAATGAAAATGTATAAAATCCAAGAATACTTTGAGTATAAAAATGCCCTAATGATTTTAAAAAATCATGTTTTATTTACTGCTTAGATAAATTAGCAGTCTTTACCCTGTTAAAAATAAATGGAACAGCAATAAAAATAAATGGTATCAGAGCCAAGTAACTGATCTATGGACAGAAATATTAAACCTTTATGGTATATAGGAACTGAAGTACTCGTCACAATTTTACAAGTAATTAAAAATTTAAATGAAGATCTAAAAAGAAAAATTGTTAAAATGATTATGTTGCATAATAAAAAAGAAGAAGAAAAATATAATGTGCAATATAATAATTTCTTTGACAATGATCTATATGATACATCTGATTGGTATTATTCAGAATAATGAGTTTGAAAGAAATATCTGATTTATTAAAAGACCTCATAGAGAGTAATAAACAAATATCATTAAGAATAAGAATGATAGAAATAGAAATAAAATATATCAAAGAAAATATTCCAGGAAAAATAACAAATTTTATTGAAAAAATAGACAAAAGAATAAGTCAAAAATATATAAAAGAATTATTAAATAAAAAATCAACAAGTGAAAATACTTATCAAAAAGGAAGTATGGATGAAATATTAATTCAGAAATTCCTTGAAAAACAAAAAGGAAAAGAACAATATTTAGAAAATGAAAAGGTTTACCTTTCTTCTTCTTATCTATGCTATGGCTTTGAGTACTATGGTTAAGGAATTGCTAGGAATTGTTTGTAAGTTTCAATTATCACACAAGAACCCACTAGTTTCTTCCAAAGTTCATATTTTGCCCTTGATATTGTGTATTGTCCTCCTGGTATTTCCTTTCTGGACATGGCTCAAAACTCAGAGACACGTGTGTCTGAAATTTAATAAATTATAATGACATGACAGACTCATATTCTCATTTGTTTGTGTTGGATTTGGATACAAGTGAGCTTGTGTCTGTCACTCATTTGTGTTGGACCTGAATTAGTCTCAGATGATCCTCCTAATTCAAAATTTCTCTTCCTACTTCTTCCAAGAATGAATCTTCGATGATATAATGTTTGGTTTCTGTGCTTCTAAGGACACTCCCATACATGTAATATGTAATGTTTCCTTTCGTGTTCATGTCTCACAAGTATCTTTGCAGGTGTACACATTTTTGATAACTACGTTGGACACTCTGGTACTGCTGCCCAGTTTTATAAAATTCTTTCGGCAATCCAAGAATCAGTCATTATTACCAGGCAATATTGCAGTCATTTTTCTAGTCTTCGGTAAACAGCGGCTACTATCCTAGTGACTTAGTCTTGATTGTTATGATTCCCTTGTTTCTTACCTATTTGTCCTTGATGCAGTTTTGAATCTAGCCTTTTCACTCAGTCTTCTCTGCTTTGTAATTATGCATGCATCTCTGCTCTCAAGCAACACCACTTCAGTGGAGGTATGTCAAACCTTGATATTTATTGTTCATCATATGTCAATTTTAATGCTTCTCCTTCAACTCGCGGAATGATAAGGAAAACAAACATATATGTTCTCCCTTGAATAGTTATCACATTGTTTTCTGTCGTCTTTTAGGTTTATGAGAAGAAAAAATCCCCGCAGTGGAGGTATGACATGGGCTGGAAAAGGAATTTTGAACAGGTTTTTGGCGCTAATAAGGTGTTATGGTTCTTTCCGTTGTTCTCAAAGAAAGATATGGAGAGCATACCGGCACTGCATGGAATGGAATTCCCAACGCGTTCAGATGTTGTAGACTGAGTCGTTATATAGGGACGTATATACAACTTTGTATCATTACCTCAGACAATGCTACAGCAGATGCTAGAGTAGGCAGTTTCCTATTCACCATCAATTGATTGATTAATATTTTCAAATTTACATTAGGAGCATGTTGGTTGTACTTATTTATCTTGTATGTGTAAATGTTTCTGTAACATAAATTCTGAAATATGTCTTTATATGAAAGCTCAATTTGTTGTTGGTGACATCTGAAATGGTGTAACGACTGCCCAGCTGTCTTTGACATGGATCTGGTGAAATTGAATTCTTCGGAAACTCCTGTATGATATCGAATCAGGAACGCATGAACAATTATATAGAGAGAGTATCAAGAAATGTTTGAATCGTAGTTTCTATTAATATAAATTGAATTCTAATCTCGTGATTTAGAATTATGAGAGGATGAAACTTGCCATGTTGTTAATATAACATACCAAAAAGTGTTTTGTAAGTTCAGAACCAATGCTGCAGCAAGTGCAACCGCTAGTAAAACCTGTTTTTGATAATTAATTTTCGGTTGCAATTTTGTTTTTCTAAAATAAACAGCGTTCACTATCAACATTAAAAATCTTAAAACATTTAATATTATTATGAAAATTATCAAAATAACTTCCCGATTCAATTGTCCTTGTACACAATGGATCATTGTACATTTTATACATTTACATATGACATAATAATAAAATATATAATGTCTTCAAACTCCTCCTTAATCGATATCATTTGTAATATTAGAAAAAACACAAAATCATTATTTAATGCTAAAAATCAGTTAAAATCTTTAGTGGCGATATTATGAGCTTATATGTCGACTTTTATTATCGCTAAAAGCTTAGTTTTTAAAAGTGAATTCTAGTTAGCAACGCTTAGGTGATGGGATGTCACTAAAATTTTGAGGTATTGACTTTTAAAAATATTTGTGGTTTTTTAAAATAACATTTTTTATTTTAAAATATAACGAACGATTTAAATAATCAAATTCACATGATTCACAAGCATTTTTGACCCTTCTCTATCTTATTAATCATTTTGACATTGAAAAACATTTCACTGGTTCCAACAATACAATATGCTTCTTCTGATCTAATATAAATGAATTATTGGTATGCGGACACATTCCTTAAGAAAGATATTTAAAAACATCAATTAAACAATAGTTTGTCCAACATTATCCTTTTTTTTTCTTCTCAAACTCTTCTTAAAAGTAGAATAATCATTATTTGAGATTTAAAAATAGCTGAAAACTCCACTAAAAAAAGAGGGATGATTTATAAAAAAAATAAATTAATATTTTGTTGAACTTTGTAAAATTCATTCATTATAAATCATGAGAACATCAACAATTCGTTTGTACTTTGGTTTTTCGATTACCGAACATAACTAAGAAAAAAAATATTTAATTTCAATATGAGGATATTTTTACTAGAACTACACTTATTTTGGAACGGACCAGAGTAGTGGATTTGCCACTCATTTTGGAAGGCTTAGCCATGAAATTGTGGAGAAAGTCACGCATATTATTCTCTTTCTTTTCATCCAATGATTAAAATACACTCGTAAGGATTTTTTGGTTTCCTCTTATCACATTCGGTTTTCGAGGATATCTACAAGAACTCATACGATAATGAGTAGCTCAACGTCAACGTCATCGCCATTTAGTCGTAGCAGGACACGTTTAGGGAAATATGAATTGGGTAAGACATTAGGTGAGGGAAGTTTTGCTAAGGTAAAGTATGCCAAAAATATACAAACAGGTGAAAATGTAGCCATCAAAATCATCAATCGTGATCGCGTCCTACGACAAAACATTATGGAACAGGTACCTCCCTTGCCCTGTACACACATTTTGCATCCAGGGCCAGATGTAGGCTATTGCGTACGTTGGCTCAAACGTTGTATATATATGTTATGAAATTCAATAAAAATGTGAAAAAAATCAAAATTTAGAATTCAGTTACTAGCATTTGAGATCGTTGTGAAGTCAAAAGTTTTATGATGTGTAATTGAACTAGTTACCACATAAGTAACTGTGAAAATGTACATTGTCATGTTGTTTTTTGTTCTGAATAAAGGGAATGAAAGATGTTAGATGATGAATTTCTGTTGCAAATTTCTTTTGATTTTCGAAAGGAAGGGCGATTATGTGATCTATGATGTACTTTGATTGATAGATTAAAAGAGAAATATCAACGATGAAGTTGATCAGACATCCAAATGTCGTGAGGATCTTTGAGGTATGTCGTAAAACATATAATTTATTTGAGCATTTCTCATTTCCATGTCAAGTTATGGCGATTCAACAAGCATACACATGATTTTGCTCCCATTTTTTCTAAAGTTTTGAAGTTACACGTGCTTATCGTCTTGAGTGCTTCATATCTTTGTTATAACAACAACAACATATCCAATGTAATCTCATAAAATGGGGTTTGGAGAGGGTAGACTGGACGCAAACCTTATCCTTATCTCGTAGAGGGTAGAATATTGCTTCATATATTTGTAATTCTCTTTATTCTAACTCTGGTTACATATTAGGTTATGGCTAGTAAGACGAAGATCTATATTGTCCTCGAGTATGTACATGGAGGAGAGCTCTTTGATGAAATTGTAAGTTCATTTTTATAAGTTTTCGCTTGTATTGCAACGAGAATGTCCTTATAAATAAGATATATTACAGGCTAGACATGGAAGACTCAAAGAAGACGAAGCTAGAAGATACTTTCAACAGCTTATTAATGCCGTTGATTACTGTCATAGTAGAGGTGTTTTCCATCGAGACTTGAAGGTTTCTGACCCTTGATCGCATTCTTTTAGATACCAAAGTTTTTTTTTCCTTCACGATTTGGCTAGTATTAATATTGAGTTATGCGATTTGTAGCCTGAGAATCTATTGCTGGATTCATTTGGTATTCTGAAAGTTTCAGACTTCGGATTGAGTGCACTTTCCAAGCAAGTTCGAGTAAGTATTCTGTACGATTGAAAGAGGTTAAAGAGTATATAAAGAGCTATTCACTCTGTCCCTCACTTCAATCGGATTCACTTTTTAGTATTATTGATGGAATACTCTCAACGTTATTCAGGACGATGGACTGCTTCATACTGCTTGTGGCACACCAAACTATGTCGCGCCTGAGGTAACAACAACCTTGAGAGTAGTTATTACTAGTTACTCCCTCCGTTTCAATTTGTTTGTCTTGCTTTCCTTTTCAGTCCGTTTCAAAAAAGAATGTCTTTTTCCTTTGTTGGCTAACTCTTTGATCCTAACTTCCGACATGAGATGTTTAAGACTGCAAGATTAAAGGACATTTTGGCGATTAAGATCACACAAATCATAAGGCTTATTTATTTTCTTAACTGTGTGACAAGTCAAAACCAGATAAACAAATTGAAACGGAGGGAGTAGTTGTATCTTACTGTTTGCTGTCTTTAACAAGAAGTGTTGTATCAGGTGCTAACTGACAAAGGCTATGATGGTACAACAACTGATGTCTGGTCCTGTGGAGTCATTCTCTTTGTTCTAATGGCTGGATACTTACCTTTTGATGAGCCAAACCTAAATGCTCTATACCGAAAAGTAATTTCTGAAAGTTTCAAATGATCAGAGATGTTTCTGGAATTCTTCGTTCGTTTATTTTCAGAATGTTGTCTGAATAATTTTGCATGTATATTGCTGTCAGATCCTGAAGGCTACGTTTTCACTTCCACCATGGTTGTCCTCCAGCTCAAAGAATCTGATCAACCGTATTCTTGACCCGGATCCACTCACAGTAAGTCCCTTTTATCTTTGCTTAATTTACTGTCTAGAATGAGTTATTGACATGATACATAAACAGACGGTTTCAACTGGCAAGTAAACACTCCAACTTTGAGTATGTGTATCTAGACGCACCTCAACTCGTCTCCATTGTATAGTTGAACACTCCACTTACAGAATGATTATCTATACACCTCTAAATTTATGTGTCACTTCAACAATGGGTGTCCACGAGATATAGTGGGGACGAGTTAGAGTGTTTAGTTGTCAGTTGAGACTAAGTTGAAGTGTGTTGATGTGCAATCCTCTCCCGTTGAGGCCAAGTTTGAGTGTCTATTTATGTATTACGATGAGTGATTTCTGATCTTTTGTTTTAGAGGATCACTATTCCAGAGATCCTCGAAGATGAGTGGTTCAAGAAAGATTACAAGCCGCCTCCTTTTGAGCAAGACGAAGATGTCAATCTTGATGACATTGATGCCATATTCAATGGCTCGGACGTAAGTCACATTTTCAACTATGTTTATAATCTGTATCGAGAACCAAACATCGTGTGTCATATGATACGCTTATTTTATGTTTTGCAGGATCATCTCGTTACAGAAAGAAAGGAAAAACCTGCTTCTGTCAATGCATTCGAGCTCATTTCAAGGTCAAAAAGTTTCAACCTAGAAAATTTGTTCGAAAAACAGGTGAGTACCTTACATATTACTAGCTAGACACTTGTTAACACCCTGACAGACATATCTACGGTATATGATCTTTCAAATTCCGTTATATCTAAGAATAGTTGAGACTGAGATAGTTGCACAATACAGTAAGGATGTCATGTTGTTTGATCTTCGAGTACGTTACTTAGACATAATTAATCTAACTTTACCATACATGAAATGTGTCGAAAAAGTGCTTATTCCTCTGCTAATGCATTTTCTAATAGTATGAATTTGCAAAATATAGGCCCTTGTCAAGAGAGAAACACAATTTACTTCGCGGTCGCCTGCTAATGAGATTATCTCCAAAATTGAGGAAACTGCAAGACCATTGGGATTCAGTGTCCAGAAGAAAAATTACAAGGTCACTAACACCTTGCATCTTTTAGTATTGGATGTTTGGATTTGACTGATATCAGTTGACTCTAGTGTAAATTTGAACGTCTTAAAAAAATTTCGTATCCTTGACTATTCCAGATGAAGTTACAAGGCGACAGGACCGGAAGGAAAGGCCACCTTGCTGTAGCAACAGAGGTGATTACTTAGTTCGTTTATGTTGATTCTCCCACATCAGTTAGTGATGATCACGACTAGAGCAATCCTCACCTCTTGAGCTCGACTTACTTTTATCACGACTTCATATTCCACCTCTCATCAATGTAGTACATTGTTGTATGTATACTTGTTGCCTCAGGTGTTTGAAGTAGCACCCTCAGTGCATTTGGTTGAGCTCCGAAAAACTGGTGGTGAT